TATTTTTATTATTATTCATATTATCACTGTCATTCAAATTATCATTATAATCATTATTATCATTCATATTATCATTATAATCATTATCATTCATATTATCAATTATTATCATTATAATCATTATTATCATTCATATTATCATTATAATCATTATTATCATTCATATTATCATTATAATCATTATAATCAAAATTATCAAATATTATCATTATAATCATTATTATCATTCATATAATCATTCATATTATCATTATAATCATTCATATTATCATTATAATCATTCATATTATCATTATAATCATTCATATTACAATTATAATCATTCATATTATCATTATAATCATTCATATTATCATTATAATCATTCATTTATCATTATAATCATTATTATCATTATTATCATTCATATTATCATTATAATCATTAAATTGTCATTCATATTATTCTTATTATTCATATTATAATTCTTCTATTATTCTTATCATTCATATTATCTAATATGATTATTATTCATATAATTAGCATTCTTAATATTAATATATTATCATTATTCCTATAATTATCATATATTATCATTCTTATTATTATTGATCATATCTATCGTAATTATCATTCCCAATCCTCATAAATACATTGAACACTATTGTAAATGGGGGTAATATGCTGTCTAAGTAGTCCACCACTATCAGTGGTTTACCTACTTCATGCTCTATTGAGTATTGTATTTTGTTGATGTTATAAAGATTACCATTTCATTTCCAACCTCCGTTTTGGTTATTCCTCATTCAGTAACCCTTTCTAGGTTACAACAATGTTTTGAGTATCAGGAAAATCTGTGTTTAGTCAGCATAATTTGGGCTTTGTTTGGCTGCAGGTTCTCTGTAGTTGAAAAGTCATGACATCAGACTGTTGTCCTCAAAAAATTGTACACTCTGGCCTTCTTGAATGGTGATTGGAATTTTGAACTGAACCCTTTTTTTTCCACCATGGTAGATAGTTCTATTTCCACTTTGCCAGAATCCATTATCTCCCTTTAAAACAACTTTGAACTCACAAGTCACTGGTTCCAACCAACACTTTTTATCCATTAGGCCATGTGTTTGAGCCTGTGTTAATGTATATAAAATAGACCAAACCCGGATATAAGAGAAGCCCGGATATAAGAGACTTCTTCTCCGGTCCTGACAACTCTCTTATATCCGGGTTACACTGTACCACATATTCACAGGGAACCTACAAAAACACCCACAAGATAAAACTTTCATAATGTATGAAGAATACCCTTTTTTTTTCAATTTTTTTTTTTTTACCAAAATATATAAAAAATTTAAAATATGAAATGATGGGTTGAGGATGAGCCAAAAGATGAAACTAAAAATAAACAAAACATTCAAACTAAAAATAAAATGTATTAGAGTCATACTGGGAATTGATATTTATTCGTACTTATGTACAAAATGTGGCACAAGGCCAAAAGGGAGATTGGGGAAGGATGGTCTTCTTCTGTCTTAATTCTAAAACTTAGCTAGTCACAAACACTGACCCAAACATACCAACAATAGTCCTATCACCAAAACAACACATTCTCTCCTAACTTTCTTACTACATCCACCATAATACCTCAAAGTCTCAATGAAATCCTAACTAGTCCCCATATGTATTTTTCGAAGTCTGTGTGGGGAGGGAAATAAAAACAATTTAAAAAAAACAAAAAACAAAAACAATGTTTATTTACAATATGAATTAAATACTATTTGCATGAAAACAAAACAAAATAGGGTTAGTAATAAAAAAACCCACAATCCCTAAATTTGGCAGAAACATCAGTTAACTGGATGAAATAAATGCGGGATTATAATAGTATAAAAACACAATCATCCATCCAAAATTTTTCTCAATTTAAACACATACTCATTCACTCACATATTTTAAAAAATACGAAAAAAAATTTTTCTATTTAAAAGTCATCCCAAAACTACCAGAGAATTGAAAATCATTGACCACCTAAAGAGGGAGGGATGGGGAATTAAAAAAAAGAAAAAATAGGGACAGAAATAAAAGGGGCCAATGAGCATGCATACCCTAGCTAAGTTAACCGTAAAACTGGAAACTAAAGATTCAAACTAAAACCTACACTAGCTTAATATCGGGATGGGTTGCCTCTGTTCAACCCAGGCAGGATAAAAATAATTCCAAACCTAATTGACATCAAAAGTGCCATTCCAGATCAGCCCCTTTCACTCTAAACAGTTTAAGATTTCCCACTTTTGCCAAATTCTGATGAAGACAGTTGCCACCTTTTCATCTAATCTTGACTTTAAGTTGATGCTTAAAGTACAAGATCAGTTGGGAAGAGGTGAACTTCACCCATAGAATGGAGTTTTCTGATGTTTTCAAACCAAATATATACTCTCATAACTCCCTAGCAAGCAATGGAACACATAAAGTTCAGCCTTCGCCAATGGTGGTGTCAAACATTGCTTTACAAACAGAAAAGGCCTCAAGGACAAAGAACTTTAAAATATTTTATGAATTGAACCATGAGGCCGAAAAAAGACCTGAAACACAACAGTGCTACCAACTTGCAATGAAAGAAGACGTGACCAAGGGTCTTGACTTCCCCATCACAGCGTCGGCAATTTGGAGATTTCTCCAAGCCCGCTGCACAAAGCTTTTTGGTGACCCAGAGGGCCCCATGCATCACCAGGAGCCACACTGGGAATTACTGCAAAACACTTTCCTCTCCCCATTTTATATGCAGAAGCACACAAATGCATACTGGGATTTTTTTTCTTAGCCAATCAAATTGGCCGGTTCTTGGTTTCATCTGACTCAGTCTAGCACACTTGTGAAATCAGATCTAATGACAGTTTCCTGTAGTGAAACACAGGTTTGAATCCTGTCTGAGAACATATATTTTTCTAATAAGATTTCTCAAATGTTCAGGCAGATAGATGAAAATAAATAAATATAATGTTTAATAAATAAACAGAGCATCTACTCAAATACACTAGAAATAATGATTAAATAATAAAATTATATTGGATTAATAAATGAGAAATCCATTCCTAAAAATTCCTTTGTTTATATTAGGATACATGTTATATACTGTTCATATGAACACTAATGGGTATGTTCCAATCTTCATAAATATGTTGGACACTATTACAAGTGGGGATAATATGCTGTCTAAGTAATCCACCATTAGCAGTGGTTTACCTACTTCATGCTTATTGAGTATTGTATTTTGTTGATGTTATAAAGATTACCATTTCATTTCCAATCTCCGTTTTGGTTATTCCTTATTCAGTAGCCCTTTCTAGGTTACAACAATGTTTTGAGTATCAGGAAAAATCTGTGTTTAGCAGCACAATTTGGGCTTTGTTTGGCTGCAGGTTCTCTGTAGTTGAGCAGTCAAAGCACATCAGACTGTTGTCCTCAGCCATATTGTACACTCTGGCCTTCTTCCTTGGTGATTGGAATTTTGAACTGAACCCTTTATTTTTCCACCATGGTAGATAGTTCTATTTCCACATGCCATGCCTCCATTATCTCCCTTTAACACAACTTTGAACTCACAAGTCACTGGTTCCAACCAACACTTTTATCCATTAGGCCATGTGTTCTTGAGGACATCAGTGTCTGAATTTATGAGACTTATAAACTTAATGTTTCAGTTATTATTTTTTTACCAGAGCTAATATTGCAATTTTGTTGTTATTATTGCTCTTCTCTAGCACTCCATATTACTGGTTCCTATATTGTATTCATTTCTATGCTTGTTTATCTTAGGAGATTTTTGTGGCCTGGCATATGTACTGATTCCTTAAGTTTTCATGTTTTCCAGTGATATTCTCTATTATTTCAACCCCATTCCACATGGGGTGGTGATCACCCTTTTCCCTCCATATGTGGTCAGCTATGCCTGATTTTTGCTTTGGTATTTACCCATGGCCCCACCACTGACATGGGATGTGACACAAGATCAGTTGTTTAATGTAGGGAATCCAAGCATGTACACTTGGGTCATTGGTCAAAATATTGGTTAATTTTTACCCAGCCTCCACTTGTGCAGAATCGAGCATAAAGCTTGACTTAGCAGCAAAACAATATGATCATAGTCTCTGGACCATGGAACGCCTGGGTATTTACCTGTGACACCACCACTGGAGCGAGATGTGACATAAGGTCAGTTATTTAACATGGGGAAACCGAGAATGTACTCTGGTCAATTTTTACCCAGCCCTCACTTGCACATGAACAGGCACAAAGTTTGTCTTAGCTGGTCATGGCAGCAGAACAGATACTATAATATGATCATAGTTTCTGGACCACAGAACACCTGTCTTGATATTTACCCATAGCCCTCCACTCTGAGGTAGGATGCGACACAAGGTCAGTTATTGAGTGTTGGGGACCCAAGTGTGTACACTCGGGTCATTGGTCAGTTTTCACCCATTCCCCACTTGTGTGGGATTGAGCACAAAGCTTGTCTTATCTGGTGAAGGCGGCAGAACAAATACTATAATATGATCATAGCATCTGACCATGCAGTGCTGGTCTTTTGTTTTTTTTTTTGTTGCTTTTAAGACCTTTTTATATCCTGAACCAGTTTTACAACAATGCTGGTTAAGCTTTTTCTTCCAGTTGTTTTTAAAAAATGCGGGAGTGCCAAAAAGATATGACAAAATGATTCATTTGTTCTCTGTCTCAAAAAAGTAGAGATTGGGATGTCCTGACCTGCTCAGATGGCAACTGCTAAGGATTTTAGGATTACATTGAAGTAACAGAAAATTCTTCTCATTAAAATTGTTTAAGACAACTGCACTAAGACAGGGGGCCTTCTAAACAGATACATTTCTCCCAAATGGAACCCTACATTAAGGGAACAGAACGGTAGTCTTATTATAGTCTTGTCAAATGCATGCAACACCCTGCAACAGAGACCTCACATTACATCACATTTTGCAGAGAATAGATACAGGTTTACGATCACATGACATCAAAACACCAGTTCCTGCATGATCACTGAAGTTAAGCAACATTGTGCCTGGTCAATACCTAGATGTGTGACCACATTGGAATACCAGGTGCTGTAAACTTGGATGTGTGGGTGGTGTAATGGATAATGACATGGAATTTTTAATCAGAGAGCAGAGTTCTAATTCCCATTGGGTTTGTTATATTCACTTACATGCAAATACTCTTGGGAAAGGTATGAAAGTGTGAACCACCTCTTCTACCCCCAGCTATAGGTTAATTATTAAGACTTGCATCACTAAAATATTATTATTTAAAAAAAATTCTTACAATCTAAAACTATTTCTAGCTTTAAATAACCTGCAGTGGATTGATAAGCTGTAGAAAACAAATCCATTAAAAGAATAGAAACAATTTTAATTTTCTTTTGAATTCTTAAAGTCAGTAGAGTTTATTTATGGAAAGCTATGATTTATATTGGGAATAATAGTGGAATGGTTTTACATTATCTTTTTCTTAGTGTCTTTATTTGGACACCGCCACTAGTTAACTCATTAGACTCATTTGACTTTTTTTGGCTGTTGACTCATTAGACTTTTTCTGACCTTTGATAGGTTTTATTTATTTGTCTAACAGAATTGTTAACAGAATTTGTCTAATGGTCAAACATCTAACAGAATTGTTAATTCTGTTAGATGGTTAACCATCTTTCTGTTATAAAATTTGTATATCAGTTATAGCTGCTGCTTAGTAAGACTGTAAGGAAAAAACTGGAACAAAAGATTGAATGAAGAAGGGTTTAATTCCATGAAAACATGGATTGAAAATACAGCATTTCTCTGCACCAAGCATACCACTAGAAAGCGCCAACCCCTTGCAACCCACTTTCTTATTGTTGATAGACGAGTCTATATTTCAGTCTTCAGTGTAGGGAAGGTTAGTAGGTCTTTAGACATAACACATTCTTACACTCTACAGAGAGGCATGAGGGAAGTGTTTTTGATCATCCATATCCTGGATAGCACATAAAAAAACAATTGTTTATATTTTGAAATAATATTTTACTTGAATTAAATAATATATTCATTATTGTTATGGTCCGGTTCCTTGTACCACGGTGATAGTCCAAGGTAGAACCAATAAAGAAGAACTTGAACACAGGTATGGAATAACACAGATATATTACAAACAGGAATATATACAGAGAAGTAGAAGTGTTAGTATGAACAATCAGGTTTAGTAGAGAGAACAATGTAGTCTCGACCAGTATCACTATTCCAATGTCTTGCAGTAATTATCTGAACGCGACTCTGTTTCGAACTGCCTCTGACTCGACTCGACTTGAACTACTGACTCGACTTGAACTACTGACCCCTTGCCTACGCCTGAGGCGCAGTATTTATTAAGTATGGAATAGTCCATTATTATTATTATAGGTAAGATCCCATAACAATTATAGAACAATGTATGTTCATACCAACAAAGGTTCGTTATCCCATCAGCAAAACCAAATATGACAACAACTGCTTGAAATTGTTGCTTAGTACTTATACTTGTCCCATATATCCAAAGTATGTAAATTAGTCAAAAACTTTTCATGCAATTCAAATATAATATCAATCATCTATGTTTTAAAAAATCAAACTGTATCCTAAAATATAAATTTAACAAAGAGAACACAACATAAAACATACCATTCATGCCTCTAGTAATTTGGCCAGGAAACATGTATATGCTGTTCAACTGAGTATCATTTCTGCCATGTATTCAATTGTCCCAGGGGTTAACATGTATCAACACCATTATCATTCAAAGTTAAAAAAAATTAAATTTTGGCTTAAATGACCCAAAGGTGTTGATATGCTGTTAAACAAACAAACAGTGGTCATGAGACAAAATTTTTTTGATAGGTTTAAAGGTTTATATTTTCTTCATGCAACAAAAAATAATCATTCTTCTTCTGTGTGTTATCCTTTGAGTGGCAAAGAATATGAGAAAAGAAAAAACATTTTAAAAGAAGGAACTAAAAAAAATTACAAGAATTAAAAAAGACAGAACATAATTTTGACATGTAATTTAAATTTTTTTGTTTTCCCTTTTGACTAGAAAGATAGAGGCAGGGAAAACCTACTACCTCATTATATCTTAGAAATTTCAACTCTTCTTTAAATGAAATTTATGATTATATTTATGTTTACATTCTCCTAAAAAATTCCTTGTTGCTGCAAAATCTTTTATGTTATTTTTAATTTGTAAAATAGCAGATATCAAAGTGGAATCAAATCAGAACAATCCAGTGAAAAAAATTTTTATAGAACTGCCTTAGAATTCGGCTAAATTTAGATAGGAATGTGACAATCTGAGATGTCTTTCAGAACCAGTTCCATTTTTAAATTCTTTTTGAATAAATCAATTTTTTCTAAATATATAAAAAGACACAAATTTTAATTGAGGAAAAAATATCCTTTGCATGACGGATGAGAGAAATGTTAAAATGGATTTAAAAAAAGAAAAAGTCATTAATGAATAAAAGATTTAAACAAAATATTTTTGACATCTTGTTTTTGATATTTAAGATATTGTAAATTAAAAAATTAAATAAAAACACTTGAAAATTTTTTATGTTATTTTCAAAAAAATTTAAAATTTTTGAATTATGCACCAGACAATCATTGTGGTAATAGTCTCATGCATCTGGCTCCATTTCCAAGACTAGTGCAGTGACTGTTTATTGTATTTTTTTTGTGAAGTTGTAACATTTCTTGAAGAGATAAAATTTTGTGATGAAAATTTCTGAGGAATGAATCTCTCTTTTCCATTGCATTTGTCAAGCACAAAAGTAAATCAACTATAGATTGTAGAATGATCTGTAATACAGTTTTTTTGGGGTGAGGCAACTGTTTTTCTTTTTAGTGGTGGAAATCACATAGGTTCTATAATATTTTGGTTTCTTTTTTTTTATACTGATGTTATTTAGCACCTGGATTCTCTGATGTCAAAAAAAAAAAATGAAATCAGAGATTTGCAAATCTAGAGTTAGAATTATTTTTCAAACTTTTGGGGATAAAATATTAATTATTTTTTTTTGTGTCAAGAATTTTCAATTTGATTTAAAAAAATTTAAACAAGATTATGAATATTTTCTATATTTGGTTATTAATTTTCTACAGAAAGTTTTTGAAAGAAAAAAGTTATAACAATCTTTAAGTGGATGCTTAAAAAAAAAAATCTGAAAAAATCCTGGCTTTTAAAAAGGCTTGAATATTGAGACAATTTATAAATAAAATATTAAATGATTATTAAACATGAAATAGTCCAAAAAAATATATACAATTTGAAAATCACATATCTCAAATTTCTGAAAAAATTTAAATTTTAGAAATCCAGAATTTTTTTTGGATTTGGTATTGTGGTAAGACAACCCAATTATCTCCCATATATGAATTTTTTTTCATGCTGTCTATTCAAAAAATTTTTTTTTTTTTTACATTCAATAATCACTTGACATAATTTGATTTAGACTCAGAGTTTTTTACAATTTATTGAACGTAATGTTTTTAAATTACCTTAAACCAGAACCTATCTCACTGCAGACCTGTCTTATACTAAACATTAAATCAATATTGGAAAAGAAACAAAAAGAATTTTGCTTTCACTTTAAAAAACGGTTCATCCACTGGAAATTAATGAAAAAAGGAATTTTGACAAAAAATTTTTTTTCTAATTTTGCGGAATCATAATCAATTTCATATCGTTTAATATAAATGAGTATTTTGGATTAAAGTGCCATTAAATTTAAATTTTTAAAAGAGCTATAGACATTTTGGATTTTTTTTTTGCAAGAGAAAAAAGTTAAGTTAAGACTGTTACTTTTTCATGATGCTGGACAGCAGATCAGGCTGCCTAATGAATTTATCAAAGCCTCCTTTATAAATGGATTAGAATCAAACTATAAAAAAAATTTTAGAAAATAAAAAAAACAACTAGATTTCCACTAATTTTGCAATTAAAAATTACCTTGAGATGGTAGAAAAGCAAAATTGTTCATGGAGACAAACAAATTTGCAGAAAAACTCACTAAAAAAACATCCTATTCCACACAGTTCAAAACAACCCAAGCAAAAAAAAAGACAGTCCTTTTATAGATAGAAACTTATTTAAAACGCCAGTTCCCATGCAGTCACCAGTTCAAATCTTCTCCCCCAAAGGCGACAATTATACACTTTTTAATGATTGCAACCAGGCAAAAATATTTGGTTTTTTGTGGTTTCAGAATACATCTCAGAGTTCCGATGTTGACAAGCCAAGGAAACTAAATTTTATATTCACTTGCAGGAATGGTTTTAAAAAGGTTTAATGAATCAAGTTTTTTCATCTGATTTGATGGGTAGTAATTATAAGTTTTGCAAACCTTAAACCATTATTATCTCAAAAAATAAAAAATTCTTACAAAATAAAAATATTTTAGTCTTTAAATAAAAAAAAAGGGTTTTTAAACCATGAAATTGCAAAAAAACAATTTAAAATGGTACATTGTAATTTCAGGTTTTTATGTAAATGCAAAACCCTGAATATTTTTGCATGAATTTCAAAGAATATATTTGGCTTACTTGCAAAAATGGAATGAACCAGTCACTGAAAGTGTTTATGATTCAATAAACTCTTGAAAAAATTTACAAAAAAGTTCATAATGATCTTTTGTCAAAAACATCATCTTAAATGTATGTGGTTTTGACCAAAAATTTATTTTATAAATTCCAAATTACAAATTACATTCAGATTTGTGTTTGAATAAGGGAAAGGTTCTACAAACCTCCATCTCAAACCCTATAAAAACTACACAGTCATTTGATATCTATATGAGCATTGGACTTAAGGGCCTTCTTCTATCTAAATCCTGAAACAAAATCTACTGTCATTGATGAGTACTATTATACAGAAAAGAAAAGGATTGTCCAGATTGATTCAATTATGGTCAACTATGTTTTGATCCATATGTTATCAATATTATCTATATGCCAGCTTATATTCATTTAAATTATTGGAACCTCCTTTATGTATGACCAATTAAATGTTTTAATTGTTGGTAAAAAAATGTGCCATAAGCCAGAATAACCCA